TTTTCAAAAAACAAATGTGCCTTCATTGGTAAACTTAAAGGATGTGGTTGGGCTCAGACATGCTGTCTTCTTAAATGGTGACAGATTAAAGTCTAGATTTTAATCTGCCCTGAGATTGCAATGTAAACCTGTAGATACACTACTGAGCAGATAAAGGAATCTTAGGGTTTCGTGATTTGCAAGGGTCAATGTTTTGATTTAATATGGGCCTTACGCATACGTACTAGCACAGACAGCAGTCTAAGTATGAGTGCTGAATTTGACAGTTTTTATCTGAGCTTTAAATTGGAAACAAAAGTTAAAACAACAATATTGGGTGATTTTGTCAACATAAAAGGAAAGAGAGCAGCTACATCATTCAGGCCTTCTAGGACCATTGCTTAAGGGCAACATTACAGCAGGCTTTCCACATATTTTAACACCACAGACATTTCAGACCATGGTAGGAGACTTTAAAATGTAAGACATAGGTGAGCTGATTAACTCTCCTCCTGAGGCCTCGTGCTGTATGTTTAAGTAAACCAGCTGGGCGTTGTCCTTGAGGACCAGAGCTACAGTAGGTTTAGTCAGTAGGGCTGAAGCTCCTTAAAATGGATGAATTTTAGGGGTGTCCTGTTCATGTGTGTCAACTGACTGTAATTTTTATCACCCAAGAGAGGAGGCACAGGAAGTGGAGGAGTCTGGATCAAACTGTCCTGGCAGGTGTTTGAAGCCACTCACTACTCTGAGAAAAAACAAGTCAGACTTGCCATATTGATGAATCTGTTACTGTAGTGTAATATACACTAAGTGTACAAAACATTAGGGACACCTGCTCTTTCCTTGAAATAGACTGACCCAGTGTATCCAGGTGAAACCAGGTGACCCCTAATTGTTTTTACCTGTGAAATCCACTTCTGTCAGTGTGGATGAAGGGGAGGAGACAGGTTAAAGAAGGATTTTTAAGGCTTGAGAAAACTGAGACATGAGTTGTGTATGTGAGGGAGATTTAAGTGCCCTTGAATAGGGTATGATGGTAGGTGCCAGGTGCACTGGTTTGAGTGTGTCAAGAACTGCAATGCTGATGGGGTATTCAAGCTTTACAGTGTCTTGTGTGTATCTGGAATGGTCCATCACACAAAAGGCATCCAACCAACTGAAGGCCAGTGGTCAAAAACAGCTCATTGATGAAAGAGGTGAAAGAATCATTCAACATGAATTGTGCTGATCAACAGACTGTATACATTTTGTCAACTGACAGTCCAGTGCATCACTGGTGCTGAAATACCAATAAAACAACACACAACTCGTTGCACCTTGACACAAATAGGGTATGGCAACTGACAACCTTACAGAGCATCACTTCCTTCAGCCTGCTGTTGTATGAGGCTCAGGGATTAAAACATTGGACACTGGAAAATTGGAAAAACACTGCCTGGTCTGATGAATCCCAGTTCCTACTTTTTCACTCTGATGTGAGCACTAGGGTATGGAGAAAACCACATGAGTCCATGGATCCATCAAGCCATGTTTTAAAATTGCAAACTGGTGGTGGTGATGTGATGGTGTGGGGTGTGTTTTCATGGCACACATTGGGCCCCTTGATAAAAATGGAACAACATTTGAATACCACAGAATATCTGAACATCATTGCCGATCAGAAGCTTCCATTCATGACAGCAGTGTATCCAGCTGTGAATTGATGTTTTTTTTAGCAAGATAATGCCCCATTCCACAAGGCTAAGATTGTACAGGAATGGTTCCACAAAAATGACAATGAATTCAGCTTAAAACAATGGTCTGGCCAGTCACCAGATCAAAATCCACTTGAACATCTGTGGGATGAGAATGAAGATATTCAGAGTAGAGGCCCACTACCAACCAACTCAACACAACTGTGTGAACTGTGTGCACTGGAATTGAGACTGTTCTGAGGGTTCTGAGGGGTGCAACACAATTTGAGGAAAACATTCCTAATGTTTTATATATTCAGTGTAATATGTAACAATATAATATGTATCCTAGAAATGGGAATTATTATTGGGGAATTGAAATGTCCCAATAACCTACATTTTCTTATACTGTACGTCTATAAAGGTACATCTGCCACTATATTCTGCTGTGTCTGAATGTCCACAGGGTGCCCTAAGACCACCAGCATGTCCAAGTGGAGATTTCATATGTGCTGTACATATTGCAATCTTAACCCTAATGCTAACTACAGTATAAACTGTATTTACAATATTAATGGGGCATACTGTGCTGGAAGACCCAGTGTAGTAAGACCCCAGTTGTTAGTTCTGATACCTCACCAGTCCATGGTCCTGGGTTGGCTTCTTCGTGTCTCTGTGTGGTGTTGGCGGATTTATCCAGCATTCATATTGGTTTTCCCCATATGATGTAGTTTTCTAACACCTCCCAAAGACACAACGTGTAGGCATGACTGGTTCTTCTAAATTGTCCCTTTTTCCTTGGTCCTACAATTGACTGGTGTGCAGGTCAATTGTATACAGATATCATGTGAGATCATTATGCTTCTGAGATAGGCTGCATTTTGCTGCCTGCACCCCTTAAAATAGTAAAGGTTGTACAGTACACAGGGGTTTCTCCACTGACAATGACACAATAACCAAAGGAGCAGATTAGCTGATAATACATTGCTGCTAAAGAACTGAAATGGGAACTGCAGTTTTACACTGACATGATTGCTGTCCATTCCAGCAGGAGATTAATAATGTCTAACCTGAGGCCAAGGCAAATGTTTCAAGAACACAAACTATTGGAAATAGTGTCCCTTCCAAAATTAATTTCATCACCTTTTTTCCCTTACTTAGGCAGGCAGGCAGTCACCAGTTGCATATTGATTTTTTTTGCAGACTAAAACTGAACCCATCATTTCAGATTCTATTTGAAGCACAAGGAAATAATACTCCTGAAAGATATTGCATGTGTATTTACAGAAACATTTACTGACTACTTTATTAGAATTTCCTCTTTATAATGAGTAAAACCACTCTCAGCATAGTTTGCGGCTGGAGCCCTGGTTTGGATCAATTACAACTTACACAGTGTTAGATTCCATGTTTTCTTGTGGCCGAAGCAATAAGCCACTGGAAATTACCCCCAAAACAATTTTCAAAACGGACAAGGTCTACAATTTGCCATTTGCAGGTGGGTCTTATTGCTCTGCTCAGATCCAATATCGTGTTACCAAAGCACCACAGCACCAAAAGGTGGCACCTTTTTAATAATCTCATGTCGGATGTCTGGGTCTTGGCAACTGACACCATACAGTATACAGTACAGTGCTCACTTGAAACTATGTAATGTACTGTACAGTATATATTGTAGCATATGTTATAGCAGCAAACCCCAAGTCTTTTACATTCATAAGATACTGAGTCCACCCATGATATTGTAGCACCCCACCACCAGGAACAGTCTGTCTTGGAGCCTCTGAGCCCTCTAAATTGTATTTTGCAGAGTCATTTTCCCTCTATCCTCCTCTTTGATATGGGGTCCGTTTTTCCTTTTCTTTCTTTCTCGTGTCTAACCTCCCAAGCTGATCAGCTGCAGCTGTTAATCTCTCTCTCCTCCTGCCTCCTACCTGCCTCTCCTTCCTGAATGACGAGCACACCCCTGTACCTAAAATGGGCCAAAAAACTCAGGGATCTGCAGTTCCAGTCTCCTGCCTCTCTTAACACACTGCTGCCTGTGCAAGGGGGAAACCAGGGAAGATCTTTGCAATTTCTTCATCAGTCATAAAATAATTATCTTCTAACAGTTGGTAAGTCTGATCCTGGCACTTTCTGTGTGTTGTTTGCCTCTGGGATTCTCACAGTAGGATATTTCAACAACAGTCCTACACATCTGCCTACCATTGCAAATGGTAGAAAATATATTTTTTTCTTGTTTTCAGACCAGTTAAAAAAATCTAATGTGACACAAGACGTGGGCAAAGTTATCACAATCCAAATAAATATACCACTCTTAAGATTATTTACATTAACACTGTATTGGTAAGGATTCTGTTAGCTGTTTTATGTTCAAAGGAGTCTAACCTGTAGCTCAGTAAGAATCTGCCACTCCAGGCTTCTCCTAACTACAGTAGATACTGTACGAGCCCAGCCAGCAATCTGATTAAAGTAATGATACGGAATACGGCTTTTCTCAGCTGTGGAGGTATGGTGATTGAATGTGCCTATTCGATCAGCTTGAAATAATGACTAAGATTTAGCAGTGGTCAGTACCAGCAAAAACAAATATGGTCATATACAGAACATAGATAATATATAGTAAAAAATGACAGAATTGTTTTATTGTTTTGAAATATCACCTGGAAAGATGTATTGACGCATTGATTTCGATTTGGGGCATTTTAAGAGCCTCGTCGAGTCCCACTATCCCCGAGACCGTAAAATCAATTTACATGGTAAATTTTCCAAATACGACGTATTTTTACAATACACCAAATGATTCGCATACACAAGCACCCATTTTTTTTAATTACTACGCCAGACCACGTACAAGTAATTTACTCGTGATATGCAAAATGTTGGAGGCGTTATTTAGGTTGCCTGTGCTTTTTTAAAGACGTGTCACAGTGGAAATCTGAAGGACGCACTGTGTTAGGCTATAAATAAACACATTTGTACAGTAGTAGACTAATACAATTACGCGTGTCAATTGTCAGCAAAGAAAACGCACTACGAGAGCCGTCAATGTTTACTGTTACCAAGATGCACAAAATGCCCCCAAAACATTGTATATACTGTATAGAAACAAAATGATCCTTCATTAAACGGTCATTTAAGAAAAACTAATATATATTTAAATAAAAAACCAACCCACAGACAGCCTCGCCTGTGTAATACACGAGCCAGGAGACGGCATCTTTAAGTGAGCGGACAGTGCCTCGGTGTGTTTCTCTGGTTTTCCTGTGTTCATGAAAGAAGCGTTTCGCCAGCATACTGTATAAAGGAGAGAAGGAAAGGGGGAAAGGAAAGGGAGAGGGGGGAGAGAAACCATCTGAGAGAGAGATAAGGGGGTAGAAAGAGCAGAGAGAGAGAGACTCCCTCTTCTGTCCATCATCCTAGCATCCTGCAAGGTGTCATCACAACATCCCAGCCTATCTGGGTACCATTACCAACTGATGGAGCGAAAGGAATACACGTTCACGCTGGAATCTCGAGCGCTGAATAAGAGACATTCAGCTAAAGCTATCTGACAGAAAAGGGGACAGAGTGACAAAGCTTTTGCATCCACAGTACGCGCGAGTTCACTTGTTTCTGATCGCCTCCTACTTGAATTTTTTTAATTCCTTAATTGTACTCTGGAGCTCACAAGGATTTGCGTCTCTATAAAGACAAGCAGCAACAATTTTCAGAGTTACTTTCCCGAAGGATAATCTTGTTTTTTTTTCTTTTTTCTTTTTATTGGATCTTTTCCCCTTAGAGGTAAGTGTATAGAAAAGAAAAAGAAAAGTTTACATTATTTTATTAAGAAAGTTCGGTCGTAGACAGTATTATGTTGGTAATGTTACATGATGTCGTGCAGTATTCCGACATTCCAGTCACAATAAAATAGCATCTTCTTTTATTTTCATCGCGGGACTTTTGGAAACATGCTTGTAGATTCACATAGACTTAAAAAATTCTGTTGCCAGTTGTGCGTTCTTGTGATGAACATTTTTGGCAAACGAGGAACTCTTCAGAATAATTCAGAATTGCCTTTAGAATAGTAATAGCAGTAATAATTACAAGTCATTTTTTCAGAGCCGTTTTAGTTTTAAATATTATATACATCAGTTTTCACCTGTTAAGTGTGCAAAACTCTGAATGGCCGTTCAACTTCGTTTATTTGTGAAACAGGATTCTGACGGCTTTTCATCACGATTTCGGTATTTGTTGATAGATGGGAGTATTTTTTCCACATCTTTCACAAATCATAGTCACAATCTAAGGGAGGAAAAGATGTTCTGTTTCTTCTTGTTCTTTGCAGTTAATGCTCAACAGGTATCGAACCCTCTAGTCGCATCTCGATCCCCCGAAGAGACATATTCTATCAAGGTTTGAGAGATTTTAAAACGTTTATGTTTACCGACAGTTTAATGTACCATCTCTTGATACCTTGACATCTCTTGTTGAAAAATAATTTCCTGCGCTTCACATCGAAGAGAACATAATTCCAAGCAGCGAAACCTGAGCCACATCGGCGTTGTTATGCCCAACGACTGCCTCGCACCGAGCAAGTGACTTGTTGAAAATACCAGCGCTGCCCTTTTATTCTAAAAGTGGTAACAATTTGCCTACACGTGGTTATTCTTGTCTTGTCAGCTGTGTTATCCGATGTACTGCAGGAATCGGTTACATAAAAAAACCGACTCTGGTACCGGGACGTCAGCGCTTCAGGTCTGAGTGTGCGGATGCGAGCTGCACTACCCGCTCCTGTGAAAGACTGTTCGGTCCATGGCTGAGGAAAAAAAGGAATGCGTCTGTTGACCACAGACAACAGGAGTTCACATACTGTAGTTCATTTTAAGCACTTTAAGCCTGCGTGTCGCTTATACGACAGAACATACATATACATGTAAACTTTGCATCATCGTCATCTTGAAATCGTCGTAGTCGTATAATAATAGTATTATTAATAACAACAACAACAACAATAATAGCTGTTGTTTTGTTGGTGTTGTTATTGTTATTGTTATTATTGTAATTACATAAGCTCAAACCACGGTGAAATAGGTCCTTTAATCTTGTTCTCAGTTTGTGCATCCTAACACAATGTCTCTTCCAGCCGGTGACTCCACTGGGAATGTAAACATACACCAAGTACTGATGAGCCCAGATTGTGTCTTGTAAAACGGACAAGTGTTAGAATAAAGGACAAGGTGAATTTCGTGGCTGGTAAATTCAATAGGCAGGTCATTTTCTCTTAATTTATTCCTTAAAAACCCTTTCAGAAAATGTCTAACTCATTAGCCCTTCACACACTCTGATGAAATTTGTATTTCCTACATGATACTTATCATGACTTAGATCAATTTTTTCTATTATCTGTGATAACAAGTACAAGAAACAACTCATTAATACATTTATTTTGTTTTACCTAGGAATCCCTGAGATGTCATAGCAAAATCATAGCACCTGTGGTTCAGTTAGTCGTTTGGTGGAGAATAGAGGCTACCAATATACCTGCAACTTTATTTAACATTGTGCAAAACACTAAAATCATAGAAACAGCATGAAAGGAGCAAAGAATGGTAATCCAGCAAAGCAAAGGACACCATTTTGTCCATCTTGCTGGTATCTAATCATGATCGTGTCAAGCCATTCCTTGAAGTACCCCAAGGAATCGGGTAATAAATCAGATCACGGCCGTGACCAAAGTAACTGGTTTACCCATTTATTTTGCTCTTAGATGGTTCCCAACCTGAAGGCAAGCTGGTTTTAAAGGTGGAAGACTTTTTCCCCACGCCCCGAGCCGGAGTCACCATGGCGGCGGGAGTAGCAGCGTGGCTCCCTTTTGCCAGGGCAGCGGCCATCGGGTGGATGCCTGTGGCCAACTGCCCCATGCCCATTGCGCCCAGTGACAAGAACAAGAGGCAGGATGAGCTGATCGTGCTCAACGTGAGCGGGAGGCGCTTCCAGACATGGAGGACCACACTGGACCGCTACCCTGACACCCTACTGGGAAGCTCAGAGAAGGAGTTCTTTTACAACGAAGAGGCCAAGGAGTACTTCTTTGACCGTGACCCCGACGTCTTCCGCAGTGTTCTCAACTTCTACAGGACCGGCAAGCTGCACTACCCCCGCTATGAGTGCATCTCATCCTACGACGAGGAGCTGGCTTTCTTCGGCATCATCCCAGAGATCATCGGTGACTGCTGCTACGAAGAGTACAAGGACCGCAAGCGGGAGAACGCCGAGCGCCTCATGGACGACAACGACGGAGAGAATAGCAAAGACAACTTGCCGCACTTGAACTTCCGCGAGAACATGTGGCGTGCCTTCGAGAACCCCCACACCAGCACCATGGCGTTAGTCTTCTACTACGTCACCGGCTTCTTCATCGCCATCTCAGTCATCACCAATGTGGTGGAGACCGTTCCATGTGGCTCCTCACCCAATCTGAAGGACCAGCCCTGTGGGGAGCGCTACGCTGTGGCTTTCTTTTGCCTGGACACGGCCTGCGTCATGATCTTCACCGTGGAGTACCTTATGCGCCTCTTCGCTGCCCCAAGCCGCTACCGCTTCATCCGCAGTGTGATGAGCATTATCGATGTTGTGGCCATCATGCCCTACTACATTGGCCTGGTCATGACCAACAACGAGGACGTGAGCGGGGCCTTCGTCACCCTAAGGGTCTTCCGCGTCTTCCGGATTTTCAAGTTCTCTCGCCACTCGCAGGGCCTGCGCATCCTGGGCTACACCCTCAAGAGCTGCGCCTCCGAGCTGGGCTTCCTGCTCTTCTCCCTGACCATGGCCATCATCATTTTTGCCACTGTCATGTTCTACGCTGAGAAGGGTTCCTCTGCCAGCAAGTTCACCAGCATCCCGGCCTCATTTTGGTACACCATCGTCACAATGACCACCCTTGGGTAAGAGGCATTCTTCCTATACACCTTTTTCTCTTTCTCATTTTCCTCCTCTTTGTCTTTCCTTTTTCCTATAGTTTGAGCCTCACTGTATCTTGTTGAGCTGATGAAGATACTATCTCAACACCAAACCTGGTAATATCCTGGTACCTGGTAATCTTGGGTGAAATAAGACAGACATTCGATTAAAGCCATCATGACAAAGCTCTTCGCTTGTGTTTTGCTGGTGATTTGAATGCAGTGTGTCTGTGATTCACACAAGGAAGTTTGCAGTACTTGAAATGTGTTCTGTCCACATTTTACATCTGTGTGTCTTGAAATATTAATTCAGCACATTAAAGCCGAATACCAGCACTGCCTTTTTATTATAAAAGTGGCAACAATTTGCCTATACCACAACAGACACTTATAGAATTCAGTACTTTTATGTGCACTCAAGCACTAGCCTAGCAATTGTTTGTTCTCAGTTATGACACACAAGATCATTTTAATAAAAAGCATTCCCTTCAGAATATTCTGTATGGTCAGTGCGAACCCATGTACATTTCTTATTTACGTTGTTAAAAACACAACTTGCTTTGCTTTTTTCCCCATTACAATTACAATTCAATGGAACATTGTATTCAACTGCTTAATGCTAAACTGTAAGAATATCAGTATTAATTTTTGCAAACCTTTCTTTCAGTTTTCATTATTTTCATTATTTTGTTGTAAATAAATCCCTGATTTGTTTTCCACGCATTTGTTTACCCCACAATCATACATTTTGTTTATCAACTAAGAAGGTGCCATTTCCAACGTTTGCCTTCATTTGTTATCACACATTGATTATTTCTTGATGTACTATAAAGATTTGGACAACAGAAAATACATCACATGATTTTATTTAATACTAGGCTGCCTGAGTATTTCTTGAGCTTGTTTTGTCTATATGTTCTGGAGTAACCCTAGCCCCAGACATGTCTGGAAAATTGGTAGAAATGTTCAGATCTGAGCCTCTGTCCTGTCCATGTTGCAGTATGGTAAAGTAAAGTAGTCTGTAGGTATTCCAGCAAGCAGCAAGAAGCTTTTTCTCATCAATAAAACACTGAGTTGTAGTGGGTGTCAGCATGACTAATTATATGTACCACGAAATCTGCTGACTAATGCGAACTTTCGTGACATTCTTAACACTCTTTACCTTGCAGAAAGTCGCCTAATAAGGGCATAGCTGTCATTCTGTGCTCAGAGGGTGATTGGAGTTAGGGAGATGGTGTGGGGGGTTGATTTGAGATGTAAGCTAGATTGAGACCTGTTGAACTAAAGCTGGTTAGCTTGCATGGATAGGACCTCTTTAATATAGGTGAAGGAGAAATTGTGTGTGGATCGCCAAGCTCATGATGTTGAAACACATTGTTATCATGGTCTGTCATCCTCTTCAGTTCAGACCAGGGCTGGTACTTGTCACGTTCAATTTATTCTGTTTGATTTCTTTAAGGTGTCCATCTGATCTCACCCTGTAATTCCCCCTTTTCTTGCTGTGTGATCTATCGTGCCTCTTTTGTTCTGCTTAGATTTGTTATATTAGGTATTGCAGCAATAGCTTCCACAAAAGACCTCTCAAGGTCAGTGAGGATGGAAATATAGTTGCATGGGAACGCTATAGAGCCCTACACCCATTAGAGCTCCTCGTGTACGTTAAAGCCTTGCACAATTCGCTGCCCTCCTTGCATTTCTTCCAATCACTCGTTCCTGAAACAGATATTTAACTGAATAATTAATATATAACACAGGAGAACAAACTAAGCAGAAACAAAAATACTTAATCCTGAAAAAATGTACATATACATAACAGTGAAAACAAATTATATCGATACTACAGTACATTTGTCATGGATTTAATATGAGCATCACTGAGGTGTCTTGAAAATAAGGTTTGTGAAAAATAAGGTCTTGAAAATAAGGTTTGTGAAAGTAAGGAGAGAAAGAAGACTTCGTGTTCCCTCCTGGATTGTGTACCTACCATTCTTTTCTAGTTTCGTACAGTACAGTATGTGTTTGTCCTTTGAAGAATCCTGTAGTTTTCTGTGGCCCTTGATGGTAAAAATTAGAACTAGCATGCTCTCAAGAGATTTCCCAGACATAACGGGATCAGTCTTTGTAATATGACAGTTTGTTAACAAAATGTGTTGCTTTGATTTGAGCAATTTAACATTTTTGGGGCTTTGCTATTTCTTTGTATTTTTCTCTTTCTGTCCTGTGGCCCTAGGAGCTGAATCAAGCTGCATGTCCCTTATTACGAAGGTCTAGCCCAGTTCTAAATAACTAATACCCCTATATATTTAAAACTCTTTACACCCACAGGAACATTTATGTAATTTGTACAGTTGGTAACATTTGTTTCATCTGTTTCTTTAAAACACATGTCACCATATGAGAATTTCTTTTGTGGAGCCACTACCAACAGTGGCATTTCAAAGAGAGCAAGTCTACAGCTCTCTGTGCGGATGGTTGGTTAATAAAATAGATGTTGACTTTTAAAGGGCGAACGATGGTGCATGTTGTCATTTCACTGTGACCAATTTCATTTGTGTCGCAATAAAGGAAGAAACTCGATAAACAGGTGATGTGTGGGGAGGGGGGGAGGTTGATGTTGTTCTCCATTTTGAAAACAAGTGTCAGCCATCAAAGAAGATTTGACCTTTCTGAAGTACACACATTTTGTGTGACCTTTTAAAATGATATATTAAAAAATTCTTCAAAAGCCAGGTGAAGAAACTGACTAATAATACACGTTCAGTGTTGTTCATTTAGATGACAGTGCTGTATTTATTAAAGGATAAGGGCTTTTATGTCTGTTTTGCTAACACTCTGCTCACCAGCCTGGGATTCTGTAGTCTTTCCAGGAACAAGTCTTTTCCATATTTCCCTTCTCTTTCCCATCTTCATGATGTACAGCATGTGTTCCTAATAAATTCCTGTTTGCCTAACAGATTAGATTTAGCCTTTCCAAACTCTACATAACCCTCAAAGATTAAGGTTAGGGTTGGGTTAGTGATAGAGTTAGCTGCACTAGATGTGAAATTTCCAAATTCTATGCAAAGGGCAACTCAAGTGGTACTGTGATAGTGCCCAGTCAACCTAATTAACAGCCATTCTCAAGAAGATACACATTCAAAGGCATTTCAGCTCCATTCTGGTAGTCTAGCTTTATACTGAAACTTAATGCTTTGTGCACTAAGATAAAGGTGACCCTTCAGGCCTGCTGCTGTGATTTATGTTCTATTAAAAGGATTAGTACTTTTCTCTTCTCTTTGTGTACTGTCGATCAGTTTAACTCATCCTGAGTAGCAGTCAGATGTGTTTACAGGCACAAGCTAAAAACACTGCGTCGGAAATGCGCAGAGCAGCCCTGTAGGGTAGAAACAAAATGTGGCTTCTGCTGCTGCAATATGTTTCATTCTTAGCCTAGCCTAACACCAACCCTGGGTCATTTTCTAGTCAGAAAGGTGCAATCATTACAACTATCCTCACACTTTCCGAATCAGAGTTGACAACAAAAAATCTTGTCTGCTTGGGATTTAGGGTTGGACTGGGGGTGGGCAACACATCTGATTATGTCTTGACCAGAAGGCTGAAGCCTAGCTTTCTTGTTCAGTCACATGTGAAATGTTCCCACTGCACAGATAAGTGATCAGTACTTATTGACAGGTACCCTTTGCCAAAGGTAAAGGATATTGATCACGTTTTTAATTAAAACCAGAGGTTCAGTCTAAAATGGAGACGTGACTGAGCTTTGTTTGAAAGCCATCGTAATTATCTCCTTTCGGGGCACGTTTGTTTGCCTTGTGGGCCTGAGATTAATAAGGAGGCCTGTGGCCTTTGTGGTCGAGATGCGCTGCACAATTCCTGTCAGAAAATATCAAGCCCTAATTTTTTTTTCCAACATGTGGACCGCAAGCACCCAGGGAATTCCACATCCTGCTAAAACTAATGACGTTAGCCTGGTAAGGGTTATAGACTGTGTGTTTTGATTTCAGACATTGATTTTAATCCCACTATGGCCTTGTAAAATATGGCCTTGGCTACATCAGGAAGTTTTTATAATTTCTTTTGTTTTATTTTACTTTGCCTGTATCTTTCTAGTCCATCGCTTAGTCTGCTTTAACCATGGACTACAACGTAGGCTTTTACAAAGGAGAAATAAGCAAGGGTGGTTTTTGGACTCCTCCATCCCTTTGAAAAAATAAAAGCTAGAGGGAGCAGGCACAAGAACAGCATTAAAGCCTTGTATATCTTGTAGGGCCTGATACATATCTTCAGGGAAAAAAGCTAGTGTTTACCCTACAGGAGCAGAAGTGTAAGAAGAGCTCTGCCCTGCTACCTCAACTACATTTTCTGCTCAAAAGAGATTCTAACTTTCTTTCAGTTCCCATGTCAATTGGTTGTTGTTCTTTATATTTAAGCTGGCATCAATGTTACCATTCACTCTTTTTACCTTATTGTTTCTTGTATTGCATTCCATTTCAGGGAGTGACACTACTGTGTATTGAAAACAGAGGGGTTCTCAGAACCACAGAAGTCACACTGCAAAACAACGACATTGCAAATTGTAATGGTACAAGCAATCAAGAATAAGTACAATGTCATACAAGTGATAATTCAGGGACTCTTTTCAGTAGTGATATTTATTAGCGTCTTCCCAGGAGTGCTTGTTAAGACCTCCCACTTTTGCATGCAACCATGATTGCATTTGCAGGTACGCATTTTTACAACCAGCTGCCACCCTTCTCCTTCACTTTCCAAGTACTATAGAATGTGGGTACAATCTACCCACACAGTATCATGTCCCATTTCATTCATCGTTGAGAACCGGAAATCTCAGTTATCCCGGTCACCTACTGTAGATAACAGTATATAACCTGCTTGGCTCTGTGCTTAATAGGCTTAAAACATCTGGTGGATTAGCCTTTTGGTAGGAAGAGAACCCCATCTGCGTCCCTAAAAGATCATCAGTAAAAGTT